ATCCTTCCTCCATCCCTTCCTTTCTTATTTCTTATTTATTTATTTATTTTTGCTTTTTTGGTCACACCCAGCGATACACAGGGGTGACTCCTGGCTCTTCATTCAGGAATTACTCCTGGTGGTGCTGGTGGTGTGGGCGGGGGGGGAGGGGGGACGAATCATATGGGATACGAACCCGGGTCGACTGCATGCAAGACAAACCCCCTTTTTGCTGTACTATCATTCCAACACCCCCCTTTCTGAACCAGATCAAATCATGTTTTGGTTATGAAGAGACAGAGACAGTCCTTTGGAATCACAGAATATTTCCATTTGCCCTTGGGAGGGGGGGTTGTTCGTTTTGTTTGGGGGCCACATCCCACTGTGCTCAGGGGTACTCTTGTCTTGGCACTGAGAGATCATTCCTGGTCCTTGGGGGACCACCCAGAGTGCCAGAATGAAACCCAGATTGGCCATGTGCAATGCAGACGCCCTACTGTTGTACCATCTATCCAGCCCTCAAAGACAGAAGAATACTTCATTCAAGTTTTCTAAGGATTTGCTTTTAGCATAAGAGACAGCAAAAGATGGGGCTGGAGCAATAGCACAGTGTGTAGGGAGTTTGCCTTGCAAGTGACCAACCAGGGTTCGATTCCCAGCATTCCACATCGTCCCCCGAGCACCGTCAGGAGTAATTCCTGAGTGCAGAGCCAGGAGGAACCCCTGGACATCACCGGGTGTGACCCAAAAAGCAAATTAAAAAAAAAAAGACACTGCAAAAGAGAAAGAACTTAGGTTCCTTGGTTCAGGGGTTATTCCTTAGCTCTGAACTCAGGAACTGTTCCTGGCGGTGCTCAGGAGATCAAACGGGAAACTGAAGCTTGAACATACCAAGGATCATGGGCAGTATAAGACTGTGTACAAGACCAGCTCCCTTATTCCTGTGCTCTCTCTCCAGCCCCACGTGTCAGGTTTCTTGAAGGCTGAATTTCAGACAGGGGAGAGCGGTAAAGTGAAAACTCTAGGCTGTTATCTTCGTGCATCCAAGTGCTAGGATTTATTCCTTGAAACCTGGCTCTAAGATTTATTCCTTTTGAACCAGACCAGATGGTACAGCCAGTAAGGTGCTTCCCTTACTCCAGAGTCCTGCCAGGAGTGATTGACCCCTGAGCACAGAGCCAGGAGTAAGTCTTGAGCACCACTGGGTGTGGTCTTCAAACCAAAAAAAATGAAAAATTAAGCTTTTTTTCTTTTTTTTTTTTTCATTTTGGGTCACATCCGGCAATGCACAGGGGTTACTCCTGGTTCATGCACTCAGGAATGACTCCTGGTGGTGCTTGGGGGACCATATCGGATGCTGGGAATTGAACCCAGGTCATCTGAGTGCAAGGCAAACGTTCTACCCGCTGTGCTATCGCTCCAGCCCACATATTTTATTTTTAATTTTTGATTTGGGGCCACAACTGGAGGTGCTTAGGGCTTACTCCTGGCTCTGCACTCAGAAATTACTCCTGGTGGTGCTCAGGGGACCATATGGGATGCTGGGAATTGAACCCGGGTCAGCCACGTGCAAGGCGAACGCCCTACCTGCTGTGCTATCGCTCCAGCCTAATTAAGCTTTTTTTAACCGTTGAAAAACGTTCACCAAAAAAAAAAAAAAAAGAGGACACAGTTAAAAATGAAATGGGGCTGAAGGATGCGTGAGGAAATTACCAAGTCTGAGAAGGAAAAAGAATTAAAGGAAAAGCTAGTCAGGCCGAAACGATAGTACAGCAGGCAGGGTGCCTGCCTTGCACACCGCCAATCTGATCTAGGGTTTGATTCCTGGTACCCCATATCATCCACCAAGCCTGCCAGGAGTAATTCCTGAGCATAGAGTCAGGAGTAACTCTTGAGCACTGCTGGGTGAGGACAAGCATTCCCCTCCCCACCAAAAAAAAGGGTTAGAGGGACCAGAGAGATAATACAGCAGGTCAAGCACTTACATGCAGAGGACCCGGGTTTTATCACAGGGTCCCTCAAGTTCACCAGGAATGCTCCCTGCACCCAAGCCAGGAATACGGGAGTAACACCTGAGCACTGCTGGATGTGGCTCCTCCCCACCCCGAAGCCCCACAAAACCCAAAAATCCAAAATCAGAGACAGAAGGGAAAAAAGTCAGAAGAAGCTGACGGTTAGCCAGTGACAGGTCAGAAGCAAACGCGGACTCTAAGCCTTTCATCATTGCCCATAATCATTTGACTTTCGGGGCCATAACTGGTTATGCTCAAGGGTTACTCCTAGCTCTGTGCTCAGGGATCATTGTGGGTGGTGCTGAAAGACCTTAGGAGGTGTGGGGAGACAGAACTTGGGCGTGGGGGTGGGATCTGCCTGGAAGTCAAGAACTTGATTTCATTTATTTCTTCTTGGTTTGGGGGCTGCAGGAGTCTGTCATTCCTAGTGATGCTCCCGGGAGCATCTGGGGTGCCCGGGATCAAACCTGGGTCGGTCGTGAGCAAGGCAAGTGCCCTACCTGTTACAAAATTTCTCTGACTCCAGGTCTGGGCCCGCAGTGTCAAAACTTGTTGGGCCTCACAGGATGGGGGTGGAGCCGGTCCTGGTCTCTCCATCCCAACAAGACCCCATGTCATGGCCCACGAACGGCCTCTCTGGTTCCTGATCAAGCTGCTCAACGGCCATGATCCCAGAGACTCAGGAGCAAATCTCGAAACCCAGTGGCTTTTGGCATAAATCCCTTCAGATTTAAGTGTTAAAATTTCGGAATTTCAAAATCACATGGCCCTACTGCAGCCACGCGACATCAAATGTAATTCATAACCCGCAATAGAACACAAATTGTCTGTCTACTGTTGCCTTTTCAGCAGATCTGAGTGTTGGGGTAAAATCTCAAATAATAATGGTGGGTCTGGTGTCGAAATATTGAATGTGATCAAAATAGAGAGAGAGAGTAATGTGGAAATCATCTGCCCCACAGGTGTGGGGGGGGTGTGGGATGGGGGTATACTGGGGTTTTTGGGGGTGGAGAATGGGCACTGGTGAAGGTACGGGTGTTTCATTGTATGACCGAGACTTAGACCCGAAAGCTTTGTAACTGCTTTTACAGTGATTTAATAAATAAAATTATAAAAAAATGAAAGAAACATTTCTCTGACTCCAAAGCAAACACTTCAACTCCGGTTTTAGGTCTCTGGCCCCTAGGGGAGATTCTTAACTACCCTCTTTTCAGGTGCATTTCTTTAGAGGTCAAGAAATTTGACTTTTGGGGCCGGAGGGGTAGCACAGTGGAGAAGGCGTTTGCCTTGCACACAGCCAACCTGGGTTTGATCGCTGGCATCCCATATGGCATATGGTCCCCTGAACACTGCCAGGAGTGATTCCTGAGTGCAGAGCCAGGAGTAACCTCTGAGCATCACCAGGGGTGACCCAAAAAGCCAAAAAAAAAAAAATTTTTTTTTTAACTCTTAACCAGGTCTCAGAGGAACTGCAAAGGTAGTGTTTCCACTCCTGAGTCAGGCACCATCCACACCAGGAATGACAGTTCCATGTGAAGTTCCACTGCCTAGCAGGTGTCCTGGGTTCAATTCCCCAGCACAACAACAACAAAAGGTAATAAAATCAAAACAAAAAGGTACTTTCAGTCCCAGGAGGTGTGGGGCCCGAGAGAGAGAGAGAGAGAGAGAGAGAGAGAGAGAGAGAGAGAGAGAGAGAGAGAGAGAGAGAGAGAGAGAGAGAGAGAGAATCCTGCTAGAATTTTTATCTGCCTCCAAAGTAGTTATCTGGACTATTAGAAGTCACTTATCGCTCTATCTTCTTTAGCACTTAACGGGGCAAAGCCTGGCAAGCTACCCGTGACTTACTCGATATGCCAAACACAGTAAAAAGTCTCACAATGTTACTGCGCCTGCTCCAGCAAATCGATGAACAACGGGAGGACAGTGACAGTGACAGTGACAGCCCTTAGCGCTTGTTTTTTGATTCTTACAACATGGAGACTCTTTCCCTGTTTTCCAGATGACAAAAGGGAAACTTATTGGTGGAGTTAAGCCAAAAACTACTGCAAAATAGAAAACCTACTGTAAAATTTCCTGCAGGAAGAATACCTGCGTGCGTTGTAATGAATAGGGCACCCAACTGTCTTCCAGAAGTTCATCCTTCCCCCTTTCTTCTTTGGCTTTTGTTCCTAGCCAGACAAACTCTTTGGGGGCATCTTGTCTGAAAACAAACAAAAAAAGCAACTACAGAGGGAGTTGGGGGTGGAAGGTGGGGGGGGGGGGCGGGGGAGAAGCTTTGGCCACTTAGACAATGTTTGAGTGAGGTGTTAGGGTGGATGGCAGGGAAGTAGAGAAAGCTGGGTGTTTTCCCCCAGAAAACTAGAGACTCTAAAAAGATCTCCCATCCAGAAATGAATTGTCCTGGTGGGATGATCACTTGGAGGGGCCCCAGGGAATTGGAGGTGCATCTAATTTTCAAAGGTGGAAACCTTGCTCTCTCTCTGTGTGTGTGTGTGTGTGTGTGTGTGTGTGTGTGTGTGTGTGTGTGTGTTTCCCAGTGTGTGGGTTTGGGGGCCTCAGTTTTTCCAGTTCCCCTTTCGATTGGGTCTCCCTCCTCCCCACCCCCTCCCAGGTACCTTTCTGCATTATAATGGCCCGGGTAAGACTGGTAGACGGGATTAATTGTGAATTCCAAAGGGCGTGTGTGGGCGTGGGGGTCGGCCTGCAAGGGGTGGGTCCAAGGATGTGGAACCTTCCTTATAAATCAAGAGATTCCAAAACTTCTCACCTTTCGCTCTACCTGACGTGGTGGTTCTCCTGAGCCTTCGGCCTTTTGTTAAATTAGGAAAAAAAAAAAATCCTTTGACCCTCTGGAGGTCTGGATTTTTCTTCAAATTCAGCTCTTGGAGTTTTTATTAGTAGGGTTTTTGCCTCCCCTTGATTCCTTTTCTTGATAACATGAGCGCAAATCTGGAATGTTCCCCAGATCAGCCTTGCTCAGAGGAATCTTCACCAAAGCTCCACACTCAGGAGGTGGAAGAAAAGGATGGAGCGTTGCCGACACCCTCTGCCGAAGAAAAGAACGAAGCGTTGCCAACACTCTCTGCCGAGATCCCCCCCTTGGTGACGGGTAAGGAAGAGTGGAGCCCTGGGGAGAATGAGGGGTGGTCGCAGTGAGGGTCTTTCATCTGCTCCCCTTTGGAGCAATCAAATTAGAGCCTGTTTATAGAGCAGGTGTTAGCGGTTAATCTCTACACCTTTGGCAAACGCCCTTGTACCTCTGGGCTTCCTAGTACCAGGAGTTGCAGACTAGAGAGATGGGGTTTGGAGATTCGATGGGGACTCCCTGGATGGTCCCCCGAATCCCACCAGGAGTTATTCCTGAGCAGAGCTAAGAGTAGACCCTGAGCACTGCTTGGTATGGCCCACTCAGCTAATAGTAAAAGATTAGATGACTATTGCGGTGAGGGGCTGGAGCAATAGTACAGCGGGGAGGGTGTTTGCCTTGCACACGGCCGACCTGGGTTCGATTCCCAGCATCCCATATGGTCCCCTGAGCACCGCCAGGAGTAATTCCTGAGTGCAGAGCCAGGAGGAAGCCCTGTGCATCGCCGGGTGTGACCCGAAAATAAAAAAGGAAAAAAAAAAGAAGCATGGGGTTCCTCAAAAGGCTGAAGTATCCTGCTATAGGTACAGGGCTCCAGGTTCGATACCTCGTGCTGCCTAGCTTCCCTGAGCCCCACTGGATGTAGCCCAAATGCTTTCAGCACTGTTGGGGAGTAAATCCCACCCCCCCGAAGTAAACCAAAGGTAAGGGAGGCAACGGTACTGTGTTGCATATCTGAAAATTGCTCAAAAGTTGGCTGCATGCAAGGTAAGCGCCCTCCCCACTGTACTTCGGGCCCCGAGAGTAAATCTTTGCAGTTAGCACAAGAAGGAGGTTTCTCTGATCTTAATCATAACCCGACTCCATGGGTCAAACATTTAACTGTTCCAAATGTCAGATCATTATGTTGATCATTTGCAACGAATGTTGTTAGGTTAAAAGTTAAATTTAAAATAATCGCTTAAAAATATATATATATTGCGAAGTTAAAAAAATAGTGAAAGCTAAACTAACTTTATTTTTTTACCCAATAATAACACTTTTAAGTTTGTTTGGTTTTTTTTTTTTTTTTGCTTTTTGGGTCACACCCGGCAATGCACAGGGGTTAGTCCTGGCTCTGCGCTCAGGAATTACCCCTTGGCGGTGCTCAGGGGACCATATGGGATGCTGGGAATTGAACCCGGATCGGCCGCGTGCAAGGCAAACACCCTACCCGCTGTGCTACTGCTCCAGCCCCAGTTTTATGGTATTATGATGCCAACTAAAATTAACCCGTGGAGGAAGAACAAATAAGCAAAACATCGCTGTATTGGAATAGTGCTAAATTTTGGCTTGGTTTTGGTTTCAGGGTCACCCCTGGCATTGCTTGGCGGGGCGGGGTGGGGGGAACCTTGGATTTGTGTTGACCCCTTCAAGCTCATCCTCCAGTTCCTTGAAGAGTCGGGTTTTAATGTTATTCTCAACTTTTTTTTTGTGGGGGAGTCACACCCGGCAATGCTCAGTGGTTTATCCTGGCTCTGCACTCAGGAATTACCCCTGGCGGTGCTCAGGGGACCCTATGGGATGCTGGGAATCGAACCCCGGTCGGCTGCGCTCAAGGCAAACGCCCTACCCGCTGTACTATTGCTCCAGCCCCTCTGCTCAACTTTTCTTGTCGATGTCCTTTTAGTCTGTCAAACATTGAATTCTAGATTGTGAGAGGTAGGGCTGAGGGCCTAGCGGGTGAATTTAGCAAAGAGGGAGTAAATTCAGGAAACCTCGAGCACCATAGTTGATTCTCTCCGGTAATCCCTAATTGTGATTGGCTGATTTTTTTCCCCCCTTAGATTTACTTGCAAGCACTGGAGTGGGGTGGGGAGGTGGGGATTGAGAACCGATCCCTTTCCCCTGTTCCCCTGTTCCCACAGACCCTCCCTTCCAGCAATGAATACTGGATGTACCTTCGCAAAAGCCTGTTTATTTATTTATTTCATTTTTTAATAATTTTATTTATTGAATCACCGTGAGAGCAGTTACAAAGCTTTCGGGTCTAAGTCTCGGTCATATAATGAAACACCCGTACCTTCACCAGTGCCCATTCTCCACCACCAAAACCTGTTTATTGAGTCTTAGGATTTTGGGGAGAAATTGGAGATGAGTCCGAGCTAGGCAAAGGCTACAGAGGAAGAGAAGTCTTATCTGAATGCAAGTTTCTTCTAATATCCGTGCAGAAAACTGTAGAATCTGATTTCCTCAACGGGTGATGATTAAGATTACAAAAAGGAAGTTCTGGGGGTTGGAGACATAGTAGAGCGAGTAAAGAGCTAGCCTTTCTTCTTTTTCCTTTTTTATTTGGTCTTTGGGCCATATTCTAAGATGCTCAAGGGTTATTTCTGGCTCTGCGCTCAGGAATTACTCCTGGTGATGCTCAGGGAACCATATTGAGATGCCGGGAATCGAACCCAGGTTGGCCACATGCAAGGCAAGCACCCTCCCCACTGTACTATCACTCCGGCCCCTTGTAAACATCAATCTGCAGTAAAGAGCCATCAATACAAGGAAACTCCAGGGGCTGGAGCAATAGCACAGCGGGTAGGGCGTTTGCCTTGCACACAGTCCTACCTGGGTTTGATTCCCAGCATCCCATAGGGTCCCCCGAGCACCGTCAGGAGCAATTTCTGAGTGCATGAGCTAGGCGTACCCCCTGTACATCGCTGGATGTGACCCAAAAAGCAACAAACAAAAAAACAGCAATGCAACTCCAGGGGGTTGTAGGTGATATCCTCTATTTGGAATCAGGGCTTTGCCAAAGGATGCCAGAGAGTTGCTTTCGGCGAGCGCTGAGGATTGGCAGGGCGGGGATTGGAAAGTGCTTTGAAAAGAACCCGTGTCCTTTTATCCCCACAGTCTCTCCTCTCCCTTCCTCCGAGGATCTGCCCGTGCAGGACAGTCCTGATTCTTCCACCAGCCCCAAAGGAGAAGTCCTCCCCATTCCAGAAGAGAGTCCAGTCAAGAAGGAAGACCCCAGGGGCCCCGGCAAAAAGCCGAAGAGCAGAACCGTGTTCTCGCAGAGCCAGCTCTGTGTCCTTAATGACCGCTTCCAGAGGCAGAAATACCTGAGCCTCCAGCAGATGCAAGAACTCTCCCGCATCCTCAACCTGAGTTACAAGCAGGTAACGCTGACAGCATCCCCCGGAGCCAAAACTAAACGCTTTAGGACTGGGATGCACTGAGTGACAGTGCTTTTTTGGGTCACACCCCCCCATGCACTGGGGTTACTTCTGGCTCTGCACTCAGGAATTACTTCTGGCAATGCTCAGGGGACCATATGAGATGCTGGAAATTGAACCTGGGTCGGTCGTGTGCAAGGAAAACGCCCTACCTGCTGTACTATCTCCAACCTAACAGTGCATTTTTTTTCCTTCTTTTTTTTTTTTTTTTTGGTGGGTTACTGGGTCACACCCAGTAATGCTCATGAGTTCCTCCTGACTCTGCACTCAGGAATAACTCCTGGTGGTCCTCAGGGACCATATGGGATGCCGGGATACCGGGGATTGAACCTGGTCGGCCACACGCAAGGCAAAGATGCTCTCCCCACTGTATATTATCACTCCGGCCCTAACAGGGCATTTTTTTTTTTTTTTTTAGTGAATCACTGTGAGGTATAGTTACAGACTTACACACTTGTGCTTGTGTTTCAGTCATACAATGCTCAAGTACCCATCCCTCCACCAGTGCCCATTCTCCACCATCGATGATCACAGTATCCCTCCCACCCCCCCACCCCACTAATAGGGCTTTTTTTTTTTTTTGCTTTTTGGGTCACACCCAGCAATGCACAGGGGTTACTTCTGGCTCATGCACTCAGGAATTACCCCTGGCGGTGCCCGGGGGGACCATATGGGATGCTGGAAATCGATCCCCGGTCGCCTTTGTGCAAGGCAAACGCCCTGCCCACTGTGCAATCACTCCAGCCCCTAATAGGGCATTTCTAACTGCAGTGAGTCCCATGCCTGGAAAAAAAATCACAGTAAAGCTAATTTTCAAGTTAGCATCGATCACTGTATGTGTGTATCCTTGCCAATCATGTCAATGGAATATTTTTGTGATTTTCCATCTACTTTAATTATTCAATTGGGAGGGTCTCAGTTTCCTTAGCCACTTGCCTATCTTTGTGTGCAAATGAAAGTTTGTGAAAGCGTTTCAAACTTAGAGCAATATTATAGTGGGTAGGGTGTTTGCTTAGCATACAGCCATGGAGTGATCCCTGAGCACTGAACCTGGAGTAAGTCCCAGAGCATTGCTGGGTATGGCTCCCCATATCCCCCAAAAAGTTTCAAACTTTTTCTTCGTTAAAGGAGACACATACGTTCTCATCTTCTGAATTACGAGGGTCCCTAACACTGGTTCCCCTTTAAAAATGTTAGCCAGAGAGGGGCCAGAGACATACAAGAGCAGCGGTCGACCTGGGTTCTATCCCCAGCATCCCAAAAGGTCTCCTGAGCACTGCCAGGAGTGTGATCTGTGAGCACAAAGCCAGGGAGGAAAAAAAAACAATAAATTTTTTTTTGCCTTTTTGGGTCACACCCAGCGATGCACAGGGGTTACTCCTGGGTCATGCACTCAGGAATTACTCCTGGCCGTGCTTGGGGTCCATATGATCCCATTGAACCCGGGTCAGCCGCGTGCAAAGCAAATGCCCTACCCGTTGTGCTATCACTCCAGCCCCAATAAATATAATTTTTTAGCCAGAGTGACAGAACAGTGAGTAGGGTGCATGTAGCCAACCCGACTTTGATCCCCAGCATCTATGTGGTCCCCCTGAGACCCACCAGGAGTGACTCTTGAGAATGGTCCAGGAAGCAACCTCTGTGCACCGTGCCCACCCACCCCCTTTTTTTTTTTTTTCTTTTTGGGTCACATCCGGTGATGCTCGGGGGCTACTCATGACTTTGCACTCAGGAATTATTTCCTGGTGGTGCTTGGACACCTATGGGATGCCGGAAAAATGCAGGAAAAGAGATAGCTCAGGGCTGGAAGGAGAAGCACGTGACTTGACTGTTCAGCATCCCAAATCTGGATCCCTCCCAGGATCCTGAATCCCACTAAACTGTTAGGCTGGCCCTGGCCAAGGAGCTTCCTACTGGAAAGTAATGGAAATAGGCTCAAGGGTTTGATCTTGGCTCTGCCTGGTCCCTCCTCCCTGAGTAGGCAAGAGCTGGATATGGTCCCAGAATGAACATAAAAACGGTCTCTTAGGGGCTGTAAAGATAATACAGCAGGTAAGGGGGTCCTGGCCTAGCACGTGATTGTGGATGGATCCTCGGCATCCCATATGGTCCCTGAGCTGCCGTGCCCCAAAGAGAACAATTGTATCTGCTGTGCTTTATCTGTGCTTTCATTATTTTTGTTTTTTTGGTTTTTCTTTTTTTTTTTCCTTTTGGGGTCATACCCAGCGATGCCTTGGCTCTGCACTCAGGAATTACTCCTGGCAGTGCTTGGGGGACCGTATGGTATGTCAGGGATTGAACCTGGGTCGACTTCGTGCAAGGCAAATGCCCTCCCGGCTGTACTATCCCTCCTTGAATTTATTTTTGGCTTTTGTATCCCACCCAGTGGTGCTCAGGGATCACTCCTGGTGGGGCTCTGGGGACCATATGTGTATGTGGTGCCGAGGATTGAACCTGGGTCCCAGTGTGCAAGGGAAGTGTCTTACCTGCTGTTCTCTCCCACTTAGAATTCCTCTCTTTTCTATGATTTTAGTATATATATTATTGATACATAAAAATTCGAAGGGCTGGGGCTGGAGCGATAGCACAGCGGGTAGGGCATTTGCCTTGCACGCGGCCGACCTGGGTTCGATTTCCAGCATCCCATATGGTCTCCTAAGCACCGCCAGGAGTAATTCCTGAGTGCATGAGCCAGGAATAACCCCTGTGCATCGCCGGGTGTGACCCAAAAAGAAAAAAAAAAATCTAAGGGCTGGAGAGATAGTACAATGGGTGGGGCGATTGCCTTGCTTGCAGCTGACCTGGGTTCGATCCCGGCATCCTATATGGTCTCCCCTACACCTCCAGGAGTGATACCTGAGTGCAGACAGGAGTAAGCCCTGAGCATCAGTGGGTGTGCCTCAAAAACAAAAACCTTTTTTTCCTACGTATTAGCACACTTAAACATCTAGTAGCTACATATACTTCCTGTCCCTGCTATGTTCTTTGTTTCATTTTGGGAGGGTTGCAGTTTAGGGGTCACACCTAGCTCAGCTCACACCTAGCTTACTCCTAGGGGTGTTCAGGTACCGCAGTGCCAGGGAATAAACCAAGGCGGGGTGCAGGTGAGGTGTGCTCCCTTCCCCACCCCTACGATCTGACCTCCGCATGGCTAGTGGGTTTTTTTTGTTGTTGGTGGTGTTTTTTTTTTTTTTTTTTTTGCTTTTTGGGTCACACCCAGCGATGCTCAAGGGGTTACTCCTGACTGCACTCAGGAATCACTCCTGATGGTGCTTGGGGGACCTGGAGGGGATGTCGGGGATCGAACCCTGGTTGGCCATGTGCAAGCTAACACTCTCTGGCCCCATGGCTAGTGTTTTATGTTCTCTGGCCATCTGTTTCTTGCCCTGCAGGTGAAGACCTGGTTCCAGAACCAGAGGATGAAATACAAGAGGTGGCAGAAGAACAGCTGGCCCAAGAACAGTGACGGCCTCTCTCAGGTGAGAGACACCAGCGGGACACGGTTCAGCTGCTCTCTGACGCCCATGACTTCAGTTGGCGCGTTCAAGCCTTGTTGCGCTCACAGACTTGTCTGGTCTGTGTATTGTTACATAGCACTGTCCTCCCATTGTTCATCGATTTGCTCGAGCAGGCACCAGTAACGTCTCCATTGTGAGACTGGTTACTGTTTTTGGCGTACCGAATACGCCATGGGGAGCTTGCCAGGCTCTGCCGTGGGGGCAGGATACTCCCAGAAGCTTGCCAGTTTCTCTGAGAGGGACAGAGGAATTGAACCCGGGTTGGCCGCGTACAAGGCAAACGCCCTACCTGCTCAGACTGTGTATTATTATTATTTTTGCTTTTTGGGTCACACCTGGCGATGCACAGGGCTTACTCCTGGCTCTGCACTCAGGAGTTACTCCTGGCAGTGCTCAGGGGACCATATGGGATGCTGGGAATTGAACCCGGGTTTGCCGCATGCAAGGCAAATACCCTACCCGCTGTGCTATCTCTCCAGCCCTATTATTATTATTATTATTATTATTATTATTATTATTATTATTTGCTTTTTGGGTCACACCCGGCAATGCATAGGGGTTACTCCTGGCTTTGCACTCAGGAATTACTCCTGGCAGTGTTCAGGGGACCCTAGGGGAGACTGGGAATCGAACCCGGGTTCGCCGCATGCAAGGCCAACGCCCTAATCCGCTGTACTATCGCTCCAGTCCCCTGGTTCTGGGTATTACTAATCTGGGGTCACATGAAATGGGCTCGGGTTCAAAACCAGGCACTAGTCCCAAGTCTGCTCTTGGTACGCCGGACTGCCAACAGTCGCCTTCTCTTTCAGATGACCACAGAGTACCCCACCGGCCTTTGCTGCCACCAGGGGTGCCTGATGAACACCCCCGAAAGCCTCCCGGCGTGGGGCGGCCAGCCCTGGAACAGCAGCCAGGCGTGGGGCGGCCAGGCAGCATCGTGGAGCGTGCAGAGCATGCAGAGTTGGAGCGGGCAGTTCACCAGCTACCCCGAGGAACCCCAGCAGCAGGCCCTGGTGCCGTTCCCGCAGAATTCCCCTGCCGGGGATTTGGAGAGCATCCTGGAAACTAGCGGGGAAGCCCAGAGCCTCCTCCAGCAGACCCTGAAGTATTTCAGTACTCAGCAAATGGTGGATTTGTTCCCCAATTTCTCCACGAACATGCCATTGGGAGATGCCTAAAGACGGGTGGGTGGTGAGGGTGGTGGCTGTGTTATTTAATGCGTGTGGGTGTTGTCATTTCGACTTTGGGGGTCTCTGCCTTGATGTCCTGTATATTTGTAGAGGGTGGTGACGGGGGATTTGGGAACCTTTGCTGATGCCCAAAATCTCTCCAACATAGTTAATCTGAGATTTTTTTTTTCTTTTTCGGTCATACCTGGTGATGCACAGGGGTTTCTCCTGGCTCTGCACTCAGGAATTACTCCTGGCGGTGCTCAGGGAACCCTATGGGATGCTGGGAATCGAACCCGGGTCCGCCACGTACAACGCAAACGCCCTACCCACTGTGCTATTGCACCAGCCCCTAGGTTTTAAATTTCTTTTTTCCTTTTTGGGTCAGACCCAGCGATGCACAAGGGTTACTCCTGGCTCTGCACTCAGAAATTACTCCTGGCAGTGCTCAGGGAACCCTATGGGATGCTGGGAATCGAACCCGGGTGAACCCTATGGAATGCTGGGAATCGAACCCGGGTCTGCCGCGTGCAAGCCCTACCCGCTGTGTTATCGCTCCAGCCCGAATCCGAGGAAATTCTTGCTTGGTCTGTATTCTAGGCTCTCACCTCGGGATGTGATAGAGGCTGGCCCAAGTGTTCTCACACTGTGAATTACCTCTGCCACTTTTGTTCTAATTAAGACTCCTTGTTTTCCTCTTTACTCCCATACTTTTAGAAAGATCCTTATTTTCCATTCCCTTGTAAGACTCACAGCAGTTGTCAGCCAGTTGGTTTATAAGTTTCCGTAGAAATAAAATCTACATGTTTGCCTTAGTTGTTGCCATCTGATTTCTCAATGAGGGACAAAAATATTGATCAAAGGGCCCAGAGGCCGGAATGATAGTATCACAGGTAGGGTGCTTGCTTGCACACTGCCAACCTAGGTTTGAGCCCTGGCGCCCCAGGTGGTCCCCTGAGTCCTGCCAGGAATAAGTCCTAAGCACCACCCGAAAAGCAAAGGAAATAAAAAGTTGGGTGGGGGGTGGGGGGGTGATGTGGCTAGAGCTTGCATGTGTGAAGTCTTGGCTTTAATCCCTGCTCTCTCTCTCTCTCTCTCTCTCTCTCTCTCTCTCACTGCTCAGGGATCAAATCCCTGTCGGCCCCTTATAAGTCAAGCCCTATGCTGAGTAATTAAATCAAACCTTTTTACCTCATGTATATGCAATATTACCAACATAATTCTCAGTTACAGAAGAGAGCCACAGCTGGAAATTCTGGCACAGTGATAACGGTTTCTGGAGGGGCCTAAGGATGGGGTTGGGAGGGAGGGGGTGGCAGGGGGGGAGGGGGAGAGAGACATTAGGAAAAATAAAAGCTCGCTCACTCGCTCATTGGAACCTCATCCAGAATTCCAAGTCCAGAGGGGTTTCCAATGCTGCACAGAAACTTATTTTGAAATGAACTCAACTTTCTGGTTTTGGGGCCGGAGCAATAAATGCAATTTACTTTGCATGGGGACAGATTTAGTTTCCATTCCCCAGCCCCCCATATAGGTTCCCAAGCCCACCAGGAGTGACCCCTGACCACTGCTGAGTGTGCCCCAAAATAAACTGTCACTGTAGCTGTCCTATTGTTCATCAATTTGCTCGAGTGGGCACCAGTAACGTCTCCATCGTGAGACTTGTTACTGTGGCATATCAAATATGTCACAGCCAGCCAGATACTCTCGGTAGCTTGCCGAGATCTCCGATAGGGGTGGAGGAATCGAACCCGAACTCAGTGCAGGCAAGGCAAACGCCCTCCTGCTGTGCTATTGCTCCAGCCTCGAGACAAAAAAAAAAATTTATTTTCTGTTGGGGGGTGGTAGCTGGTCTTTGCAGCACATCTGGTAGTGGTGGCACTCTGGAAATCAGTCCTGAGGGAGCCCCAGGGACCATATGGAGTGCCAGGGATTGACTGCTGTCTGCTACGTTGTCTCTCCAGACCTCTGTCACTCAGGGGCCGTATCCTGCAGCGCTTGGGGTTTGCAGCTTGGATGTACTTAGGTAGTGACTCAGGGATCAAACCCCCACGTGGCCTCTCCTTATATATTTATGAGCTTTCTTGGTTTGGTGGCCACACCTGGCAGTGCTCAGGGTTTAAGTCCTGGCTCTGTGCTGGGGGCCAGGGGGGTGGGTTATGTGGTGCTGAGTTTTATATTGTCCCAAGGGGATGGGGGTGGGGACAGATTGTAAAGCAAGTGGTTTAACTTGGTTCATTTTCCCAACCCTAAGACAAAGGTTACCACTGTGAAAATGGGCAGGAGAGATAAAGTCAACAGGCTGTGCATAAGCCCGGATTCAACCCGCTGGTGCCAGAGAGTATTTCTTTTTGGGTCACACCCGGCGATGCACAGGGGTCATTCCTGGTTCTGCACTCAGGAATTACTCCTGGCGATGCTCAGGGGAACCATATGGGATGCTGGGAATCGAACCTGGGTCGGCAGGGTTGGAAGGCAAACACCCTATCCACTGTGATACCGTTAAATGTGTGGAATGATTAGAGCGAAACCTCTAGAGAAATGGTAACATTTTAAACTTGTTTTATCCTGGCTTGACCCCACTGGTCAGATATGGGGAGTATTTTTTTATTTTATATAAGAGCCTTATTTGCTTCAGGGAAATTTAGTTCTTTTTTTTGTTTGTTTGTTTTTCTTTCCGGGTCACACCTGGCAAAAACTAATAATCCTAATGATTTTAATTTTCGCCTTCAATGCTCCTTTTGTCCTGCTTTTTCCCCTTGGCCTTTATCTCCCCGCCCATTTTGTGACAGTTGGAAAGAAGAAGCCACCAAGATTTCAGCCCCTTCAAAATTCAAACCGGAGAGGAGTTATTATGGGCCCTGGATTTCGGGGTAAAGGAAGGACAAGGTTCTTTGTGTTCTGACTAATCCCACTATTCAGGAAACTTGGCGTCAAAACAGGCCATCGCTGTGACCCCAAACGCAAAGCAAGCTACTGCTAGACGGGGTGGAATGTCTTGGGGTCCGGGGGGTTGGGGGGGACACCGCCTGGCTCCCCGGGACTCCGAAACTCCTGGGGCAGGAGATAAAGGAAATTTGTTAACTAAAGCAGCCAATTGCAGCTGACAAAAAAGCCCGTGGCACAGGAAGTTTCTGGGCTGAGGATTCCCCAGCCTCGGCATTTGAATAGGTTCCGCAGAGTAAGCTTGGAGGGAAGTTGATCAAAGGTCGACGCTGCAGGAGGTGTTACCTGACGCTGGGGTGGAGGCTGCAAACTGGCCCTGGGGTCAGGTGTCCTTGAGAATGGTGGAGGCTGAAGCCCTGGGAAAAAAATCTCACCGGTGGGGTTTTCACGGGCTCCTGGTGCTCCCCAGAGCACCACTGAGTGAGTGCAAACCAAAGGTCGAATCAAATGAACCAGGTGATGAGCCTTTTAGCTAAACAGTTAGCTTAACCCAGGGTGTGTGTGTGTGTGTGTGTGTGTGTGTGTGTGTGTGTGTGAACAAAATGGCTCTAGCTTAACCCAGGGTGTGTGTGTGTGTGTGTGTGTGTGTGTGTGTGTGTGTGTATTTTTGTGTGTTAACCCAGGCACGTGTGTGTGTGTGTGTGATATTTGTGGGGTTGGGAGATTCCTGATAAGTTCCAATGGCTCTAGTTTAACCCGGTGTGTGTGTGTGTGTGTGTGTGTGTATTTTTGTGTGTTAACCCAGGCACGTGTGTGTGTGTGTGTGTGATATTTGTGGGGTTGGGAGATTCCTGATAAGTTCCAATGGCTCTAGTTTAACCCGGTGTGTGTGTGTGTGTGTGTGTGTGTATTTTTGTGTGTTAACCCAGGCACGTGTGTGTGTGTGATATTTGTGGGGTTGGGAGATTCCTGATAAGTTCCAATGGCTCTAGTTTAACCCGGTGTGTGTGTGTGTGTGTGTGTGTGTGTGTGTGTGTGTGTGTGATATTTGTGGGATTGTGAGGTACCTGATAGGTGCCAAGAACCAGGGCTGAGAATTTGTGCTCAGGGAAGGTGTCTATGATTTTCTGTAAGAAAAATCAGTGGCTGGACAGAGCTTCTAGCCCAAAGAATTAGCTCAAACTTTTCTTTTCTTTTCTTTTCTTTTCTTTTCTTTTCTTTTCTTCTCTTCTCTTCTCTTCTCTTCTCTTTTCCTTTTTTTTCTTTTTTCTTTGCCACACCCAGCGATGCTCAAGGGTTACTCCTGGCTCTGCACTCAGGAATTACTCCTGGCAGTGTTCAGGGGACCATACAGGATGTGGGGGTTCTAACCCGGGTCGGCCATGTACAAGGCAAATTCCCTACCTGCTGTACTATCATTCAGGCCCCAGGAGGAATTCTTGAGAGCATCACCAGGGTGGCCACAAAATAACCGCCCTTGCAAAAAAAAAAAAAAAAATCCAAAACCCACCTCTGACTACCTGACCCACCCCCACATCTTGGTAAGTTTTCATTTTTTTTCCCCCTGTGTAATGAGTTGATTCATAGCTCCACCTAAACCATGTCAAGATAACTCACTAATGGGGTTCCTGGCACTCCATGTGCTCCCCCTCGCCCCCAACAGCCGACAGAAGTGATCTCTGAGCACAGAGCCAGGAATAAGCTCTGAGCACCACTGGGTGGGGGCCACCCAGCCTTCCCACCCCATCTCCCTAAAAAAAAAAATATTCACTAATAATTTCCATCTTGCTAAATCCAAAGACACAAATTTTAAAAAGAAAATCAGTCTCTTCATAATTAAAATCTGCACACGTGTCTGAGGAGGTGGTACTGGGCTTAAGTTTTTTTTTCCTCTCTTTTTCTTTTATTATTTTTTTATTGAACCACCTGGGTCTCATTCTCCTAAAGAGCCTTGAATATAATCTCAGGGCTAGGATGAAAGAGACGTTACTGGGGCCTGCTCAAGGCAATCGACGAATAATAGGATGATGAATGAATGAATGAAATTGAACCACCGTGAGATACAGTTATAAGCATTCATGTTTGAGTTTCAATCATACAATCTTTGAACTCCCATCCCTCCA